AAAAGAGAGTAATTATTTCTGTCCTCTGAAAGTCCCTCATTGGCCTTCTCTTTCGAAATATTACTCAACATGGCGATGGCGGGAACTGCAGAGGGGGGCATTTGAGTCCATTTTAAAGCCTCCTCAAGAAAGCATTCCGTTACAGGAAACAAAGTCCCTGGAATGCTAATGACAGGTGGTGCCCTTCCACCACAAACGTCGGTAAAATATGATGTTACCTTCTCTATTTGTATAGTGGCAGACATAACCACGACTTTCACATGGTTTTTGTAGCGTGGGTTTTTTCGCTGTTGTTCTATTAGCCTGTCACGTAGCAACAATAAACAAAAATCCGTTTCTACATCCCTTTCATGCACTTCGTCTACAAGGATACACGAAACACCAGTTAATTCAGGATCCGTGTGTAGACGACGCAGCAATATCCCGGTTGTCATATATACAATCTTGGTACTAGAGCTCGTTACGTTGTCAAAACGTATAATATAGCCGCAACTGGCCCCACAACTTTCACCACGCTCTTCAGCTACACGTTGCGCAACAGAGAGTGCACTGATTCTGCGAGGTTGCGTGCAAATAATTTCCAGGTCCTTCTGAAACACATCAGAATCATACAACATTTGAGGTATTTGAGTTGTCTTACCACATCCAGTATCCCCACTCACAATCAAAACATTGTTGTCCCTCATAGCATTAATAATTTCATCTTTTCGCCTATAAGCAGGTAAGGAGCGGCGAAACTCCTGTAACTCCTTGTATCTCTGATGTTGAATACCTCCTTGCGGAACCTTGTTTAGTCCTGGTTGTACGACAGTCAAATGACGTGCTTTTGGGGGTCTCTCAGCTGTTGCCTTCAACTGTCTATACATCTTTCGCAGAAAAGGATTTATTAAAGTTCTGATCTCATTCAATCTTAATTTCACATCTTCGTCAGGAAGCCTTTGAGCACCTTGATATCCGTCAATTGTTTTTACACGAATACCATTAAGGGCCGCAATTTCCCGATCCTTTTCTTGAAGAGCAATACTTCCGATTTTCTTTAAAGTTAAGACGCGTTCAGATTTGCTTCCCGTAGAACGATGGTGCAAATTAAAATTCAATGCGGCTTGGTGTACCAAATGACGTTCCGCAGCAGACAAGGTAGGGGGAAATGACATTTCATTAGCATTCGGATCGTCTACAAAGGCTTTCACCATAGCATGCAGATTTTTCTTTGTCCAAGGAGATTCGTCGACGTCATTGCGTGCGTTTGAGTATGGCAAAACTGGAGCAGTCACAGAATGTTGTCCAGAAAACAAGTTCCGATCCGCATCCATTCCACGGTTAGCGCCGTGAGTTCTATTACCCCGCTCACGTCTTTTAGACGATGTGGTTATGTTACCCTGAGGAGGTAAATTTGGCACGGGCACAAAACCGGGAGGATAGTTTCCCTGCGGGGACATAGAGTAGTAGGCTTGGGGTATCGGAACAGCTTGCTGCAGCCACAAGTTTTGTAACTCGCCCGGGTAAACTGTTTGTTGCAACTGCGAGACATGAAACGGCTGGGAGGTATATCTATTGTTAAAATGGTATGCTGTCAAATCGGCACCTTGAGCATTGCTGTTATGCTTTCGTTTAGCAGGCATTGAATTGAGACTTGACACAACTTCCAAGAACACAAATATAATAAAAATAATGGAAAGAGAAAAAAAAAAAAGTAAGAATCTGCGCTCACTTTTTGATTAAGTTCAGATAAGATTAGATAATATATATGTAT